TGGAGAGCTGGGCTGGGCTGGGGCAGCCTTCCAAAGCCTCGTGGGCCCTGCACTGAAGAAACGCCCAGAGGTTGCCCCATTTCTCTGTGTGGTGGGTTGAAGGATGCTGCCCCTCCGCTGCTGAGCTCATCACCCCTCGCTCACAAACACCAGGGACAGCCCTTGATGCCCTCTCACAGCACCACTGATTTTTCTGTGACCTCGTTATTTCTTTGGCCTGTTCTGCTCTTTGGCTTGTAGGGTTTTTGAGCCTCAGCTCCACCTTCTAAGTCAGGAAGGTGAAACAGGTGCAGAAGCTGCTAGGGAGAAGGCAGGAGGAGCAAAAACCCCACGGGGGAAGAGTTTCCTCCCTCTGCCAGGGCTGCTGCCTGCAGACAGTGACCAGTATGAGGTATGACTGTGGAATCCCCCAGAGCACACACAAATGAAACAGGGAGCAGGCTGTAAAATATGTTGGAGCTGGAAAAGGAATGATCTCTGACAACTATTTAAAAGCAATCCAGTAATGTGAACAATCAGAAATGAAGAAAAATCAATACACTTTTCATGGCACTGAAATGGAAAATAAGTGGGATTTTACTCTGGTAAAATCCATGCAAACAAAACCCAACAAATTAATTCTACTTGTCAATGAATGTGGTCATGTCTTCAGCAGCTGCAGCACCTCCCAGAGTGCTGTCTTCAGCCCCAGCACTGTGCAAGTGATGTAGCAGAAATCCCCACTGGACTCAGTGGTACATGACAGAGAATTACGAACCATTGTGTGTTATTCCCAACACATTCAATTTGTTTAACAAATAATTCCTCTAGGAAGACTTCAGGGAAAGCAAACAGACAACAGAGCACAGCAGGCACAGCCCAGTCCCTGCTCCTGCACACAAAATTCAGACAAAGCACCAGAGTAAAGCAAAGCATCACCGTCCCTGTCAGACATTAGAGGCCTTGAGGGTACAGGGAGAAGCTCCTGTAGCAGTCAGGAGGTGTGGGGGCCCCTCCCAGAAAGAGCTTGATGGGAACTGGGAGAGGGAAGGACCCAAGGGAGATGGATCAGTGCGTGGAGTGAGGACTCCACAGAGCCACACAATTTCTCCTGCAGGTCTCAGTGCCAGGCATGCACAGAGGCAGATCTATCAGTTTTCCTTTCAAAACTTTCCTCTCCTACTGGACACAAGAAATAGAGCCAGAAACAGCACGGAAATTCAAGACCATGGCACTGGCTGTAAGAGAACTGCCAGATGTGCAGCTTCTGAGCCTTGGCCAGACCTGTGTTTGGCACTATAAAGTTCACAGCTATTCAGCAGCCTTCCCTCTGCACCCCAGCAGCAAAGGTTGTGGCTGACTCTGCCTAAGGTGGGACTTGAGGTAACACAGGAAGAATTTCTAGCAGGCCTAACTCATTTCTTCTCGTTGGGACCACCATTCTTTAAGCTTGTTGCATTTGGCAAAGTTGTAAAGGAAACATTAGTAGGACTATGAACACAAACGTGCCTTTTGCAGCTGAGCCTCTCCCGGCAGCAGCTGCTCCATCCCTGAGCAGGAGCTGCTGTGAGACGTGAATTTGAGCTCTCCTGCAGCGCCTCCAACATCCCAAAGAAAGAAACGTTTTTCCCATTTAGTCAGCGTTAAGCTCTAAGCTCCTACGAGTACAATTATTTATTCCCAGGTTACCTCCAGAGCCGGCGCTCCGCGGGCCGGGCGGAGCTGACACAGCCCCGGCCCCGGGTCCCTCCAGCCCCTGGCGCGGCTCCTGCCCATGGGGAGCTGGGATGGGCTGGGATGGGAGAGCTGAGATGGGCTGGGAGGGCTGGGATGGGCTGGGAGGGCCCTTCATCCTGCCCATGGAGAGCTGGGATGGGCTGGGAGAGCTGGGATGGGCTGGAGCAGCCCTTCATCCTGCCCATGGGGAGCCGGGATGGGCTGGGAGGGCTGGGAGGGCCCTTCATCCTGCCCATGGGGAGCCGGGATGGGCTGGGATGGGCTGGGAGGGCCGGGATGGGCTGGGAGGGCCCTTCATCCTGCCCATGGGGAGCTGGGATGGGCTGGGAGAGCTGGGATGGGCTGGGAGGGCCCTTCAATCTGCCCATGGAGAGCTGGGATGGGCTGGGAGAGCTGGGATGGGCTGGAGCAGCCCTTCATCCTGCCCGTGGGGAGCCGGGATGGGCTGGGATGGGCTGGGAGGGCCCTTCATCCTGCCCATGGGGAGCCGGGATGAGCCGGGATGGCCTGGGATGGGCTGGGAGGGCCGGGATGGGCTGGGCTGGGAGGGCCCTTCATCTGCCCATGGGGAGCTGGGATGGGCTGGAGCAGCCCTTCATCTGCCCATGGCGAGCTGGGCCCTTCACTGGAGAGGGGACAGCGCTGCTCAGCTCTCGGTCTCAGGGACGTCTCTCGCCATCCTGGGCGTTCGGGCTCTGACAATTCCCATCAGAGCCCAGCTCATCTGTGGGGCTCAGACATTCCAATGTGTTCTGTGGTAGCTGTGCTGCTCACCTGGGAATTAACCCTCAGCAAGAGGCAGGACCGGACCCCACTCGTGAGAGGGGGAGCACTTGGGCTCCCAGCTGTTCCTGCAGGTGCTACCCAGACACGAGCCTGTTGCTAGAGTCAAGCCGATGATGACATCTCATTCCTGTATTTCCAGTGCCACCTTCTGTACAGAAGGGGAAACTCTGAGTTCAGCAGCTCCGAGGAATGAAACTGGAAAATTCTTCCCCCACCCACGTGGAAAAACTCAGTCACTATTGAAATTAAACACTGAAGGATTTACATTTTCAGTAGCTCAACAGCACACTGAGTTGTGTGCTAGAGACACCCACAGGTGCCAAAACCTTCTAATTTTACAAAGAAAGTACATCAGCCTCACTTTGTGTTTGTCATAAATTTGTGCAGTTTCTGGGATGGGATGTAATGGGTGAGAGAAATAAACATCCACTATTATAAAAAAAAGTAAAGCATAAGTCTGGCTATAAATATCAAAACCACATGCCAAATAAATTCATGGGGCCATGATTAAAGTATGTGATCAGGAATAGTTGTTTTTCTTTCCTTTGTCATCCTGAGCCCTTCCCAGAGGTTTTCAGCCCGGGACTGCTGTGGGGCTGCAGTGTCCTGGCTGTGCCATGGAACACTCCCCTTATCTTTGGGGACCACACTGCATCCAGCCACACAGAGGCCTGCAGGAAGCATCCAGCTTCTTTATATGGTATCAAGAGTTTGCAAGCATTAAAAAAAACCCCAAAACAAAAACAAGTTGGATTTTCTTGTCCCTAATTTCAATTTCAAATATTAAGAACAAACCTGGTTTTTATCAGTTGGTGCCCTGCTTGGTTGAGCCACCCAGAGCCATTGTCCAAGCTGGATCCAGAGCAGGAGCTCAAGGCTAGACTGGATCAGGCTTTGAGCACCTGAGCCTCGTGGATCTCCCTGCCCTTATCAGGGGTGAGAAGGTGATCTTTAAACTTCCCTCCTACCCCTAAGCATTCTGTGATTTCATTCGTCCTTCTACTTGCTTACAGTGCCTAGAAAATTACTTGATTGCTTGACTAATTACATTCAGGAGGTTTTCCACTAAGCACTATTCAGCATGATTATCTGGTACCTCCAGACTTTCATTAAAGAGACAGACAAGGTCTTATCATCTTTCCTAACAGCTGCCCCATGCTGCCCTGCCAGATCTGATAAGCTCTCAAGATTATTTGGAACAGCCTTAGAACATCCAACCACTTTTAATTGGGGTCAGTGTCTTCATGTCTGCGGATGCTCCTGTCCCTGAGGGATCAAACCCCTCCCCTGTGACCAGGACAGGCAGTCTGTGGCACCGTGGGCATCCCTAGGACACAGAGAAGGTGCTCAGGCAGTGAAATCCTCCTCCCGTGACTCTGCACCTCCGCCAGGGCCGCCCTGGGCAGCACCAGCGCGTCCCCAGCCCTGGCTCTGGGCACAGCTGCCATTTGCTGCCAGAATCACTCAGGGATGCTGCTCTGAAGGCTGTGCAGAGCTGGAACCGAGTGAATGAAACACACAAACTCCTCTGAAACCTGGATTTGGGTTCTTGTTTCCACAACACTTGCAGTTTGTTTAAAAGCGAGTGAAGCAATTCTGGCTGAGCAGCCTGTTTTGAGCTTGTTTTCCAGTTGTCTGCTGTATTTGAGTCTCCCTCCCACCAAACTTAGGAGTTCAGATTCTGTGGGAAACTTTCCAAATTCTGGCTGGAATACTCAGCCATTAATTCCCAACTTACCCATCTGCCAGGTCTAGAAAACATTTCTTTAAATCCTTAAAAACATATGTCTAAACTGCTTGTTTATCTGTCAACATTGTCTCACACTATTTAATTTTAAAGATTAACTTATTAAACTTCTCAAGGCTGACCCTGCTCTCAAGGGGAGGAGCTGTCAGTGAGTTTGCACCATGTAAGAGCTGCCTGTGGCACCAGACAGGCTTTGTGCCCACTGACCATGCACCAAGCTGCTCAGGTTCTCCCACAACAGCCTTTTCCCTGTTAAATCCCTGTTAAAATATATTTTTAAAAAAAAATTGATTTGAAAGGAGGCTGAGGAGCTGGAGAGAGAAAATGCAATTTCCTTGTTAGTTCACCTGGCCTGCCCAGAGGCCTGATGCCCTGAGGGGAGCTCGGCTGGCACAGAATTGCTGCTGGCTGCTGGCAGGACCCGGTTTGTATGGAGCTTTATGGGACACTAATCTCAGTTCAGACGGGACAGTTCTCTTGGTTGAATGGCTGAGTGTTTGCTGAAGAGTGCCTGGCTCCTCCTGCACTGCTCCAGCCCCAGAGCTGGGAGCACCAGCAGAGATTTCCCCTTTTATGTCGCTGTGCTTCAATATTCCTCTGCTTCCACTGCCAGGTTTGAGTCCCCAGGAGCTCCCCAGGCTCCCACTGCAGGGCTCAGCCCCGTTCCACGCCCTCACCTGGTTTCCAAAAGAAAGTTCCCCAAAAGCTCCTCTAAAGCTGTCACTACATGGCCACACACACAGAGCATGTATATGGACACAAAATATGTTATTTATTGTGAATTTTGCAAAGACACATTTAAGCAACAAAATATACATTTGTGAACCTTTAGTTTTATACATAACAATCTGCTACCATAGCAATAAATTAAATATACATTATTTACAACAGACATAGGTCACCAGAAACTACAAAGCACTGCCTCTCTACATCAAAAATAAACTTTGTCAGATACATTTCTCCAAGATTCATTTTCACTCTATAAACTCTCCTCACATTCTCTGCTCTAAATCCAGCGTTCCCTTTGCAGGACACGGGCAGCGCTACATTCACCGGCGGCGATGGGAGCGTGCAGGGGCTGGGCAGAGGCTGCGGCGGAGCTGCCCCGGCACCGAGCGCCGCCCGCAGCCGAGAGATCCCAGCCCAGGCGCGGCCCTCGGTGGCAGAAACGCCCCGGGCCCCTTACCTGCCGCTCCTGAGGACCCTCAGATCTCTGGGGAGAAACGGAGTTTGTGCTTAGGATGCCCTGCTTCCCTCAGAAAAAGCCATTCCTGTTGTGCTTTGGCTCCGTGGGCTTTCGAGTAGATGCGAGTGCGTGCCAAGAGCTTTGCTGAAGGGAAGCCCAGGCAGGGCAGGCCGGCCCCGGTGGAGGCGGCGCCGCCGGAGGGGAAAGGCAGAGACCCCCAGAGACGCCTCCACACAGCGGGGGCTGCCCCATCGCCCCCCTAAGGCATTTCTGAGCCCCCTCTGCCCCCTCTGCCATGTCACTTCTGAGGAGGGCAGAAGCTGTGTGCATGGAAACAGTGGAATCAGAAAGGAAAATGCACTGCCCAGTAATTCTAGTGTCAGTTAAGGATCCTCTCCTTTATATATATAAATATACATATTTTATACATATATATATATATATTCCTTTTAAATATGTATAGATGTGTAAGTGTCACTTAGAAGCACAAAACATTTTGCGAAATATCTACAGGAGCACGTCCAGGGCCGCTGGCAGCGCAGAGGTGCCCGGGGTGTGACTGGAGCCCTGCGGAGCCCCGAGGCGCCCCGGGACCCTCGGGGCCGCTGGAGCGCGGCCGGAGCGGGGCCGGCAGCCGAACCCAGCGGCCGCAGGACGCACAGCGGGCTCCAGGCTCTGGCGAGCGGCGCTGCTGGAAACGGCCCCGGGAGCCGGGCCCGGGCCAGAGCCCGGCCCCAGCGCTGCTCCGGCGGGCTGGCACAGGGACAAACCCACAGCACTGCAACTCTCCCTGAGGCTTCACGCTGTTCTGCCTGATAGTCCCATTCGAATAATTGCCAAATCAATCTAGGTCAAAAAGGAAAGCCACAGTTTCAAGTGGAAAAAAAAAAAAAAAAAAGAAAGCAACAAAACAACCAAAAATGGCAAACCAGCTGACAGTAGCCACTGCATCATCTGCTGAAAGATCTCACGGAGATCAACACCCACAGGAATGACAACATCTACAGAACTGAGTGACTTCTCAGAGGAAAAACACCCAGAGCAGACCCTGGGAGCAAGTCATTGCACCAGTCAGTGTTTCACGTGCAGCCTCGGGAAATCAGACCAAAGCTCATAGGAGGAGAATTGGGGGTGGGTTTGAAAGTGCTACTGAAGCATCATCAGACAAGTGCTGAGCAGCAAAGTGTGTGATCCTGAGACACCTACAGCTGCAGGCTGGGCTGAGCACACGGCATGCTCCTCTTCCAAAGGAAACTCAAGGCTTAAACCCTATTGAAATGCAACTGGCTGGAGCAGGAGGGAGCATCCCCACGGGAGTTATTGGTATTTACTAGTCCTACACAGCACTTAGGACCCGTGAAACTGTTCCCTGCCTTTTCACAACTGTTCTCCTTCTTTAACCTGGTTCTCCCCCCATCATAGCTCAGCCTTCCCCCATGGATTAATTCCAGCACCTGTGTGAACCAGGTCTAAGGCTCTTGGAAAGCACCTCCCTGCAGGACCAGGGTGAGCAGAGCACGTCCTGCTTGGCTGGGCTCGTCTCTGGCCAGGGAGATGCCAGGGAGGAGGGCAGGTGGTGGCTGAACCCTATAAGCACTTGCCCAGGAGAGGGGAGCAGGAGCAGGCACAGCCAGGGCAGCTGCCCAGGGCTGCTCCAGGAGCACAATTCTGCCCCTCTGAAACCTCTGCCAGGTGCTTTGTGCCTCTTGGAGCACCCACGGGGGAAGTGGCTTTGGCACTCAAAGTCCTGCTTTCAGTAGGAACCACAAACTTGAAGAACTGTGTTCACTTGAGACTGAGAACCTGATTTCATGAGGGTGTCCAAAGGTCACAGGCTGGGGGGACAGGGGGGAATATCTCTGCAGCATCATGGCCTGTCTTCCAGAAAATGGGTGAGGGAAATCTATGAGCAATGTGAAATTTACGGACAGGCTTCAGGAAACTTCACATGAAGCTCCATAAAAGAGCAAAAGGATTTCTTGGCATATTGAGAGAGGTATTTTCTGGGAAAGGGCATTATGGAAAGTTACCTTGCAGAATCTATAATCCTTTCATAATAACAAGAGTTTGCTCAAAAGCAGCAGGACAGACTCTGTAGGGCTGGAGCAGCCTAATGCCTCCCAAATCACCAGAGTTTTATGCATTTGCCTGCCTGGTGATCCAAGCCATAGGGAAAAGCAGAGCCCACCAGGTAAATCCCCTCTGGTTCCAGTTCTAGTACTAAGAAAAGCTAAAGCTGTACTACAGCACAGCTTTGGGTCACCTTTCCCAGGCCTGTGCCCAGTGTCAGGCAGGGACAAAGCAGGGAGGATGAACCTGCCAAGGAGGATGAGCTGGCTGCTGTCCCCAGCTCCACTCCCTGGGCCAAGTCACTCACCTGCCTCTTGTGCAAGAAACTGAGCACGTTTGGAGCGAGGGCTGCCTCTGCCCCAAGAGTTTTGGGGGTAGGTAGGAGCTGGGGGATGGCTGGAGGGACCCTGCAGACCCCACTCCAGGGAGAGCTGCCCAGAATCCCCCCAGGGAGGTTTTGCCCCATTGTCCCCAGAGAAGAGCAACAGCAAACGACGGTGGAGGGCAAACTGCCCCAGAGCCACTAACACCTAACCTTGGCCTGACCCCCACCTTCAAAAAACAAACATAAACCCCTGTTTCCCCACTGATAACTGCAAATAAAGCATGGAGGGACCTAAACTATGTGGAGGTCTCTCCTGCTGCCCCTCTGTCCCCAGGGACAGGGGGATGGACGGTGCCCAGCAGCTGCAGCACACTGGGCAAGCACAGGGTGACCAGAGGGGGACGTGGCCCTGGCCCTGTGTGCAGCACAGGCAGGGGCACAGGGCGTGTGCTGCACAGCGGGTGGGAAGGTGGCTGTCCCTGTCAGACAGGACTGCAGCAAGGTGAGAGCTCTTTTCTGGTGTGGCGGGCGAGGGCACCTCGCTGCCCATGGCTGGGGCGTGCGTGGTCCCATGGGGTGTTGAAGATTTTTCCCTTTGTTGAAACATTCTGTGCAAAGAAGAAAAGGATAAAAGTCAGGAGTGTGGAAGGAGAATATTCTCACCCCTGAGGTGCTGGCTATGAAGCACCTGTCCCAGGGAGGGAGCTGAAGCCACGGCAGTGCCCTTCCCCAAAACACCAGGCCACCTATCACTCCCAGGTTTTGGGAGAAGGAAACCCAGTGATTGGGTGAAAAGCCCAGCTTTTTGAGAACCATGCTTTCAGAAATGTAACTTTCTTTCATTCCAAATTCTATGGGCTCTTCTGCTCAGTTTGGATCTTCCTAATGACACCCTTAATTTCATGGAACAGAAGGAACGCAGGTAAATCCCACTGAGTTCCCTTTATGTCTGCCCATGAAATCCATCTCGTGTATCATCTGTTTCCCCTTGGATTTTCAGAATGGGGAAGGGCCTGCACTGCCTTTCCACCCCAGTGCCCAGAGCACAGCACAGCAAATCTGGAGATGGGCACCAGTGTTTGACAGAGGGTAACTGGGAAAAATGCAACACCTGGGAGCAGTGCAGGAGCACGGTGCTGCAGAAAGGAACAGCAGCACTGCCGGGTGCAGAGTGCCACGGATCCCTGCCCTTTCCCCCCTCACCTACAGCAGCATCCAGGTGTTCTAAGGCACAGCATGGATCCCACAGCAATAACAAGCAGAGTGAGCAGCTGTGGGTAGCTGAACACAGCTGGCCCCGAGCAGCCTTTTTGCACAAAGCAAAACACACCAACTCACCTGTGACAAGTTCATGACTTCCTCCTGCTAGTGGCTCTATGTGAAAGAACAGAACACGGGGTGGGTTGCAAACAAAGGGGCAAGAAGTCACAAAATCCCTTCCCTTTTCTCCCTCATGGCCCCAGAGCCTCCCCCAGTGCCCAGACGCCCATGCCAGGCAGGGAGGGCACGGCTGGCAGCATCCCACAGTGAGAGCCCTGGCACCTACCATGCTGGAGCTGCCATGGCTGAGCTTGTCAAAGCGAAACTTCAGGTTGGACCTTGGAGAATTTCTGTTCTTTAGATCTGCTGGAGGGAGAGGACAAACAAAGAACAAAAATAATAAACTGTGAACAAAAATATTTGCTGTAGTACTGGCTACACTCGCCCAGCTAGGCACTTTAATAGGCTGTCAGGAGTGCTACCAATATTTAGTCTGCCTTGGCTGAATGTTTGGCAAAAGCTGTACATTAAGTGTTTGCAATGGAACAAATTGAGGCTTAATTACATTTCACAGTCTTTCTCCTGGAAATGCCACTGAAAAGGCTACAAGGAATGACTGATCCATATAATGTATGGGTGGATTTTCATGTTCTTGGCAGGAAAAATACAAAATAAACACTTCAAGCATTAAAAGGGGCTGGTTTAAGGGTTCAGAAAATCACTTATGAAGTAAGGAGGAGGACCTGTGGGGTGCTGAGACACAAAAAGCCTGCCTGCACTCCATGGTCGCATTTTGCCTGCAACACTCCCCATTACAGAGCTGTTTGGGTCTATTTGTGCTTCCTGGTATTTCAGAAACAGCTCCTCAGCTGACACTGTGTCTCCACGTGGCTGCTGGTGCCTTGTGGCAGGCTCTCTGTAGCTCAAGGAGCCAGAGCCATGGGGATTTGTGGGTGACAGGTGACTGTGGCCATCCCCTGTCTCACAGCACCCTCACCACAGAACGGGCCAGCAAAGAGCTTTTCCTGCCTGTTTGGCCCTTCTGAGCTGCAACTCATTGTGCAAATCACCCGACTGAAATGGATGGAGCTGGTGAGCGGGTTGGCAGGAGAGGAATGGAGCCAAGACCACGGGAAGCTGATTGTTGATTAAGTAATTGTGAGTCATGGCCCAGCCTCTGGAGACAGAGTTTCCACGACGACTGCACATGCCTGTCAGGGGAGACAGAGGGAACAAAGCCACAGCAAGAGCCACCTCTGCACTCTAATTGAGAAAGGAAACCAGTTCCCCATGGAAGTGACCACAGCACATGGGGCCATGTGTCCAGAGCAGCCCTGTCAGGATGGGGCTAACCCACACCCCGTGGGTGCACGGCTGCTGCTTCGCCCTGGGACAAGGCTGGGAGGGGGCTCCTCCATCCCAGCCCACCCCACAGGCACCCCCAGGCACAGGAACCGGGTGGCTGCAGGAGAGGAAGGCAGAGGTGGTGCCTGCTGCCCTGACCCACCTGTGGGGCTCCTGCTCATGATGACGGGGGTGGCCGTGGCCCCCGCGCCGGGGCTGTCGCTGCCGGGCGAAGCGCTGTACACAAACACCTCCTGCTTGAACGGTGACGCCGTGGAGGGCTGGCTCCCCTGCTCACACAGACAGCACATGGCTTCTCCTGCACACAGGCCTTCCCCCACACCCTGCCAATGCCCCACTGCACCCGGGCCCACTGCAAATGCTGGCCTGGACAGAGCGAGCAGCGCCCAGGGCATTCCAAGGCTCGCTGGGGTGCCACGGAATCACAGGCTGGTTTGGGTTCTTGGTTTGGAAGGGACCTTAAAGACGACCTAATCAGACCCTCCCTGCCACGGGCAGCGACACCTTCCACCGGACCAGCCTGCTCCCAGCCCTGTCCAACCTGGCCTCAGACACCTCCAGGGATGGGGCAGCCACAACACCCCGAGTCCCCCCAGGCACAGCACCCCTGCTCCTCCCACAGCCAGGGGTGGTTGAGCCTCTCCACCTCAGCAGTGAGGAGGCACCTGGGGGCTGGCAGGCACTTGTCCCCCTCAGAGCCCAGAGGTCTGGAGGCAGCAGGGAGCCCAGGGCAGTGGGGATTTTGTGCCACGGGGAGGGTTTGGTACCTACCACGCTGTCGTACTCCTCCAGGGTCTCGCTCTCCCCCGCCGTGCTGCTGAAGCTGCTGGTGCTGGAGGAGGAACGGGAGATGTTCGACCGCCCGTTCTCTTTCAGCTTGATAAAAGGCCTAGAGAGAGGCGGAACGAAGGAAGGGCGCGTGGCTGTCACCAGGGCAGCGTGTCCCTGGGACTGGGACGGGGACAGGCCCTCCTGCACACCCCCGGAGCACAGTGCTGCCGTAGGAATGAACCTTTTGGGGTGCTGCAGCACATAACCACTTCCAAAGGCGTGGCACAGGGCACGGGGTGGGTGCCCAGCAGGAAACCCTAGGTGGAGCTGACTTCGCCTCGGCAGGGAGGAACAGGCACAGCCGCCTTCCACGTCCTGAGGATTCGGGCAACCTCGCTCTAACGCTGCTCTTTGCTCTTCTTTGTAAGACCAAAAAGGAGCTGGGCTCAAGAATCACCAGAATCTTTTCTCTCTTAATATCAAACTTATTTACAGTGAAATTTAGATATGGTTTTGTTTGACAAATTCCTTGGTGTCTGCTGAGCTGTGGGGGAAGGAGGACGGGCTCCTCCTGGCTCACCTGTCTTTGTTGGGGCATATTTCAGGGGAGCTGGGGTTGGATGAGGTTTCAGATTTCATCTCTTGGGAAGAATGTCCCAAATCTGGTGTCTTCTGGGCTCCAGAAACACTGTCGCTGAGGGCACAAAGAGACAAGTTGCATGAGTTATACAAGAGACTTTAAAAGGATGGTCAAATTGTACTACCTGACACCAGCTACAAACTGTGAGAGAGGCAGAGGCTCTACAGGCACCACCACAAACTCACCACCTTGTCCTGCTCTCCGCCTGGCTCTCCGATGTCGTGTGCAGGCGAGGGAACAGCCCTGAGCGGCGCTTGATGGGGCTCCTGGACTGGTTCTTGGCAGCAACCGCTGGGACAGGGGGCTGGGAGCAGAGAACAGCCTGGGCCTGAGAGCCTGTCGGGCTCTGGAGGGGTGGGAAGAGGCAGGGACAGAGGGACATGTGGACATGCTCACCGAGAAGGTGGTCTTGGTCACCTCGCCGCTGTTGTGGGCAATGCCCCCGCTGAGGCTGCCGGGGATGCCACTGCCATGGTGCTTCTTCTGGCTGCCCACCATGGTCTCCATGGAGTGGCTGCGCACCCGGATGGCTCTCTGTGCCAGAGGGGACAGCAGGTCATCACCACCCAGCGGGCTGCTGTCCCCAGAACTCCTCCCCAGCTTCAGGTGCTCCCCAGGCACCAGGGAGAGCCACCTGTCTGTGCCTCCCCGAGAGCAAGCACACCCCAGCAGCAGCACAACTCGTGACAGCAGCCCTGGCAGGTGCAGCTAAGCACGGCTGCCCCTGGGGAGCCCCACAGCCACCACGGGATCAGATTTTCCCCCATTGCTCTGTGATATCAAGGACTCCATCTCTGGGACCAGGAGATACAGACACAAGCCCCAAGCCCTGGCCAACCTCGCAGACCCCTTGGCAGGAATGGGGACCACAGCCAAGCCATAAGCCATGTTTGTGTGCACACCCTCCACAATTCTGCCTGCACTCAGAGAGAACAGATCCTCTCCTGCTTTTCTTGCACCTCTCCTGCACCTCTCCAGCCTGCCCAAAACAGCCCCTGAGCTGGAGGCTTCACAGCCACATAAAAGTGCTTCTGCTCTTCAGCAAGCTGCTGCCTGAGAATACATTTAGCCTGAACCCCTGCTGTGGCTTCTGGTTTGGTTTATCCACCTCTGGAAGGGACTGGAGGTGAGCTGTGCAGCACTGGCCCCACAGCAGCCACAGGCTCTCCCTGCTCCCGTGGATCTTCATTTCTCCACGTCCCTTCCCTCACTCCTCACATCAGCAACCTTCTCCATTCTCCTCTCAGCTATTCCCTCAGCCATGGCTCCTCCAGCCCCTGAACCCCAGCCCAGGCTAAAGGGTAAATGAGCCATGGCAGGCCAAATTCCCTGGGTGCCAGCACTGCATCTGCAGCATGCAGGCTGTTTGCTGCTGGCTCTGGGGCTCATGGAGCCACAGGTGGACCTGCACAGGGTGAGAGGAACTGCAGCCCTGAGCTCTCACCAAGCCTCCAGTGCTGCAGACCACAGCCCCAGCAGCCCCTCCTGCCCAGCCAATAATGAACATCAGGCAAGAGTCCATCAGACTGAATTTATTGGGGTCAGCAGCATTGACATACAATTAGAAGTTGTTCTTAGGTAAAAGTGATCAGTTGCTTTGCTGCAAAGCAGCAGCCACAGGCACTCCCACTCTGCAGGCTCCTGTCCAGGGCTGTGGAACTCTGCAGGGTTCCCCAACACCCCAGCCCTGAGGAGTGGCTCCTTTCCCCACACAAGAGGCAAAGGCACCTCTCACTCACTCAGAGCCCAGCAGAACTGAGCTCTGCTCACCACTGAGAACTGGTCCCCTGGCCAGGGGGATGGTTCTGTAGGCTGGGTCATAGGTGCAAGGCAGCGGGCAAAAAGGTACAGTGGGGACCAGGTGTGAGCCCTGCAGCCCCCCTTTTTACCATAGGGACAGGTGTGCGCCCTGCAGCCTTTGTGATGGGCACAGGTGTGTGCCCTGCAGCCTTTGTGATGGGCACAGGTGTGTGCCCTGCAGCCCCCCTTTTTACCATGGGGACAGGTGTGCGCCCTGCAGCCTTTGTGATGGGCACAGGTGTGCGCCCTGCAGCCGCCCTTCCCCGTGTGTGCTGCCCGTCACTCCCAGAGCACGCGGTGCAGGATGTGAGCCAGCAGGCAGCCCAGCAGCACGGGCACGAGGCGCCCCACACGGACCACGGGGCTCACCTCCCAGCCCAGCACTCCCTGCAATGCCAAGAGAGCACGGTCTGTCTCCTCACACACACAGAGCGGGCCAGAACATCCCTGCTCAACCTCAGCGTCGAGACCTGACATGAATGCTGTGATGTATGACTGACTGTGCCCTTCCTACACGTCTCACACTGGAACAGACACATCTGAGCCTCTGCAGCAGGGTCTGGGGCGCTGTGCACCCTCCTCCCCAGCCCCATCCTCCGGGTGCAGGAGGAGGTGGCTCATTCACCATCTCACTTCTCTGTGCTACAGAAAGAGCCATGCCTGAGATAACGGCAGGAACTGTCCCAGCAGGCCCAGCCAGGACAGGCCCCTGCCCAGACAGTGGCAGCCACCCAGCGCCAGGCCCTCCGTGCTGCAGGGCAGCTGCACCACAGGCACCTGGCAGTGGCTCACACCCTCACACCCAGGTGCAGCCCCTCCATCTCCAGGGGTGTCCCTGCTGCCAGTGGCTGCTCAGAGTTTCCTCCACAGCACTTTACCCACTCCTTTTCCTCCAGCCCACATCACCTGCTTTCCCTCCCACTCACCCAGTCTCCCTGGCACACTCAGCACCCCTTCCCACTCCACACCCAGCACGTTATTTCTGTTTCAAGCACGATGACCACCACCCCCACCTGCTTGCTGTGGCAGCTGCCCCAGGCCCCCCTCCTGATCCCTGTCCCACAGCAGTGCCAGCCAGCAGCCAGAACACGAGCAGGACACGTCCTGCCACAGCAGAGCCCAGCTACAGGCACGCTCTGTGGCAGGGGCCTGAACTGAGACCCCTCTGGGGACACAAAATGCTGCAACACAGTGGTAGAGAGGTGCTCAGGAGCTCTGGAGAAGTCACTCCAATGGGGACACTCACCAACAATGCAAACATGCCAGCTTTTGCTTGCTCCCACTGGGACCAGCTCGGGCACTTGGCAGGCTGAGCAGGCGGTGGTGGCTGCAGCCCCCACCTCCTCTTGCCACCCTACCCTCGGGGGACATCTCTTGTCCCCCAGCGTGCACTCTGCCAACCCCAGGTGCCTTTTAGCTCTGCTGCTGGCAAGGGCAGGGCTTTACCTTGAAAGACTCCAGGAAGCCTCCGTGACCCCCATTCTCCAGCTTGTCCTCCTCGGGCCCCAGCCCCAGCATGGTCTGCGTGTGCCCGTGCAGCTCGTCGTGCAGGTTGTCCAGCAGGGCAGCCCGTGTGCGGTCCTGGGGAGAGCCAGGGCTCAGCCAGGGCTCTGGGAGGAGCAGTGGCACTGTCCCATGGCCCCAGCCCGTCCTCTCGAGGTGACAGCCACCCACAGGCGCCACGCTCTCGTCCCTGCGAGCACTGACCCAGCTCAGCAGGGAAAGGCAGCTTTGAGGAGGGGTGGGACAGCTGCCCAGAGCTGCTCCAGGCAGGGACACGTGGGCAGTGTTACCTCCAGCTTGGCAAACTTGTCGGACTTGCAGCAGGCGTTCTCAGCATTGATGAGCTTGGTCAGCAGGAACTCCCTGAACTCGGGGCTCTGCGGGGACAGAACCGAGGCAGAAAACACCCTCCAGTTAAGGAGTCTGTGTCTCTGGTAGCACAGCTGTACCAACCCAAAACCCAAGCTCACAGCACCTGGCAGTGCCTCCAGGTGTGGAAGCACTGGTGGAAACCCCGGTGGGTTTGAGGTGCTCGCCTGCACCAACATAGTGCCCCAGCACCAGAGCTGCTGCTGCTGCCTTGCTCAAGTAATGCCATGCTGTGGTGCACGGGCACTCACCCTACCATAAACACCAGAGGCCTCAATGGAAACCAAAATTAACGCAGGCCAATTCCAGCAGTCCTGTTTTCCCCAAGCCAGCGTGCTTGGAAACACCTCGGACACGCACATCTACATTTCTACAGCTTGGAACACACTTCCCTGCCAGTCCCTACCTTCTGGAACACCGGCGGGCTCGGCAGGGGTGGGCCGAAGGAGGGAACGTCTTCCCGGGCTGTGACTGACACCTGAGGAGTCAAGAGACGTGTTATTCCCACGGGTGCAGCAGGATAACAGGGTTTATGCCACCTACACCCAGGTGATATGTCAGACTGTTCCAAGGCACATTCAAATGCTGAGGATCATCAAAACTCTTTAACAAATGAGCTGTTTTACAAACATGTATTTCATGTGCTGCTGTCTGTGTACACACACATTCTGTCACAGTGCATACATAACCACCTGTGTGCACACGTGTGTGTGCTCAGCACTCAGGTACAAGTCCCCACCAGGCCTAACACTGACTGCATCACTGAGCACAGGGTAAGTGCCCTGGGCAGCCTGTGCCAGGGCTCACCACCCTCAGAGGGAAGAATTTCCTCCTAATCTCTAATCTAACCCTACCTTTGCAAGTGGGAAGCCATTCCCCCTCGTCCTGTCACTCCATGCCCTCCTCAAAAGATGCTGAAGCAAAACTGGGTGGGTGACAGTGGGACTGCCCTCACCTTGTATGCTGCATTGTCTGCCTCGGGGTTCTCCACCTGCACCACGATGTAGGCGTGCAGGAAGTTGGAGGCAATCATGTCTGGCACGAATGGCGTGTTCTCCTCTTGGAAGATAATTGCCACTATGTCGTTGCCAATGTGCCTCTTCCTCTGGAGCTAAACCAGCAGGGAGAACATTGGGTCAGTAAAATCAGGCAGCTCTGCCCCAGCAGCAGCAAGTGCCAGTCCCGTGCTGGGGAGCCAAGCAGCCCCATCCCACGGGGCCAGGGCTCAGCAGGGCCCACGGCACTGGGCAGCGTCAGGGCATCCCCACTCAGACCCCTCTGAGCAAGCAACCACATCTCTCGTACTTGTTGTGTGTCTCCTTCGGTAAAAGGCAGCTTGGTGGAGACATGAAACATTATCTCCCTGTCCCTGAACACCGTGTACACAGACTCCACTCCCGTCTGCCCATGGCTGACATCCAGGCCTCCTCGAAAACTGGAGATCAAGGGAAAGGCGGAGAGAAACGAAGAGATGTTAATTGAAAGCTTCACAGAGAGCACCAGCGGCTGTCAGGGGACAGGCTGATGAACAGCCCAGCTCATTTATCTTTATCTAGCAGTGAGCAAATGGGAAAGAACAAACCGTGCGTCATGTGCTGTAACCAGCCATCGCTGTCACCAGCCTGAAATACAGGGTGCACACCAGCAGGGCTAGTCAGCAGGGCTGACCACAGCCATGGGCACGAGCCGTGGCCTCACCATCCCTCACCAGCAGTGGGGGTCTCTGCCTGCACTGTGGCTGCTGCAGGGACTGCCCCGGAGGCACCCGCGGCTGAGCCGCGACACCGGGCACAGCACATTTCCACAGACTGCCTTCCATCTATGGCTGAATATAGCCAGATTTTATCACAACCTCAAAGCTGCAGGAAAAGAAATTTTTCTCTCTTGGCAGCTCCAATTTTTTTTTAACTCCCCCAGCCTTGAAAAACAAGCCAAAACTATATTTGCTTCTGCTCCGCACATCCCGCTCAAGAGCGAGATGACTTCTGTTCTCACACGTAGATATTTTTACATATGACATGGTCTCTTGTTAATGTATTTGTAAAATCATCCTTTTTATTTAACTTACCCTTTGAAGTCCTGGAGAGTTATGGTGTCTCCCAGAAAATTTAAGAAGTTCTTGAAGGCAGTGCTCTCTTCATTATTGCCAAACAGCTCCTCCTCTTGTGTCTACAAAACACAGGGTGCATCTGCTGACAGCCCCAATTTCCCTGCCTGTCCAATCCCCTGCCACCTCCAGCTCCACCCACGGCGTCCCTGGGGCCTGACCAGCACCTTGTTCCATGGTGTCCTGCACAGCCACAGGCTGCTCCCCACCTCTGCTCCCCAGCTGGCACCAGCACATTCCCCACCAGCCACCAGCACCATCCTGAGCTGCACAGCCCGCTCAGCACCCAGCACAGCCCAGGGCAAAGCTGCTGAGAGCCTCCTCTGAGCCCCAGCAGGAGCCTTAGGATAATATCCAGGAAATACCAAACCAGAAGTGAATCCTCTGTTGAAAAATCCCTAATCATCTCCTGCTTGCTGTATTTCAAAACAATGAAACCCTAATTACAGCCTTACATGAGTCACTCAATCCAACCCAAAATGCAATATGTAGAGTGCCTGTCAGAGTAATTTTCAGTGAGTTCTGAGGCTGAGTTCTGCACTTCCCATCCAGAGTCCCCCTGCTAATGACAGCACTTTCAGCAAGCGCCTCTCTTCAGAGCCCACAGTCCCTCCAGACAAACGTAGCTGCTTAGCTGTCTAAACATATATCTGATTAAAATACCACGCCTGCTAAAATCCATTTTCACATCCGCTTTTCCCTACAGCAGCTTGTGGGCTGATTTCCATACTGAGACTTTTCAGTCATATAATTTTTTAATGAGTGGGGAAAACATCCGAGCAAAGAGAAACACAGTCAATGAGGACAGACAGTGCCACGAGGTGCTGCACACGGCAGAATTAAGGTCAGAGTTGAGCCTGTGCTCATGAAACGTGGATCTCTGGGATCACTGGGACACGCTCCATGAAAGCAGCGTGGGGACAGCTCACCTGCCTGAACTTCTGATAGATCACACCAAACTTGAACGTGTTGTTGACCTCATGCTCATCATAAGACACTATCATCTGGGATGCCTGCAGGAAAGCAAAATGCCAATTCAGTGGTTCAAAATGTGATGGCCAAAAGATCCATGGAGAGGGGTGAGGAGAGCCCACCAGAGCTGCAGCAGGGTACAACAACCGCTGGGCAGCATCAGGGGAGTGGAAGGGGAAAAGAAGCCAAATTCCCATATAATTAGGCTAAAAGTTTTCAACAGTGGCCCAGGGTGTGGTTCTCAGTGTCCCTGCAGAACACACAACCAACTTGGGCAAGTTACCTCACCTTGGGGTAGAGAACCGGGTTGAATTTCAGCCCAGAGGCGTCGTCACAGAAGGCCTGTGGGCAAGGGGAAAGAACAGTCAGTGCCAGGTCCTGGGCCAGAACTTCAGCCATGAATGTCTTATAAAGAAGCCAAATACAGCCTCCAATAGCAGGAGCTTCCCACTTCAAATCCTCTCATTGGGACGCCCCATGGCCTGGCTGGCCCCAGCTGAGGATGCAGCAAGCCAGGTCCCAGGTCCCTCCATGTCAAAGGAGAGGCACTTGCTCTCCTTGCAGGAAAACAGCAGCAGGGCAAGCCACAGCACCACCCAAGCACCCTTGACCTGAGAGCCCAGGCACTGCTGCCCAGCACTGCCCAGCACTGCCTGATGTGCACTGGCACAGGCCTTGCTGCACGAGCTCCAGCCAAGGCAGGCAATTCACCTTTGCAATCTGGGGGATACTCGGGAGTTTGCTGAATCCTGCCAATGGGATCCTTTCATGCAATGTCTTCACTTTGGACCTAGCAAAGAAACAATGAGCAGACAGATGTCAGAGAGTGTCTACAGCAAAGCAACAGCCACTGTTGGGAAACACAGTTGTGCTGCATTTGTTGGGCCTGGTTAGTGAGCAAAGGCTCGATTTGTCTTCTCATCTCTTAAAATATTCATAGTTTGAGGGAAATGACACAATGGTTCAGACATGCTGGGTCCTGTCAGCTTATGGAGGGATGGTGAGAGAAGTGACTGGTGTTATCCCAGGGAGGATTAAACCCACAGAAGTTTATGTTCAGTTCCAGCAGGTTTAGTGACAGATCAAAGTGGCACATTCATTATCAGGTTTAGGCAGTCCCAGCACAGAAACACAGGGATGCTGCCACTGCCTCCCATCCCACCCAGACCCCCTCCACATGCTGCCCGTCCAGCTCAAGCACCTGCTGTAGAAACAGAACCAGGGACTCCCAAAGAGAGAATATTTTGTTAAACAAAGATTTTTTTTTTCTGTACCTGAGTATAACCCTTAAATATTCTGTGCCATCTGTCTCCTCGCATTTAACAGAAAGGATCAGATTTCCAAGGCTGCTGGCTGTACAGTAGAAATTTAAATGATCCTAAAAATAGAAAACAGCATGTTAGCAGCCGGGAAGCAACTCTCTGATGGCAAGGACACTGCCTGGACACTCACCTGCTACCCCACACCCTCCCACCACTCGCCCTGCAGCCCCTTGCCACAGCAGGGCTGTGAGCAACAGGGCAAGGGCTGCCCCATGTCTGGCTGAGCCCAGGTCCCCGGGGCAGGAGGCTCAGAGCCAACGCCCTCACTGGTGTCCCAGGAGACCTGTGCCCGTGGGGCCAGGGGCAAAGCCACATGTGCGGCCATCACTGCCGTGCTGGGAACCCACCAGTGCTCCATTCCCTGCTAAGAGGGAAACTGTAAAACTCGCCCATTTTTCTCTCAACTGGAGAATTTTCTGGGCCAAAGGTTTGAGCCCCGTGGGGTGGAGGAACCGACCTTCCCCAGGAAATGCTTGCGGTAGGCTCTGGCCTCTCCCTTGCACTCCAGCTTGTAGCCATAGGTGCTGGGACTGAGGTTTTCCTCCTCCTCCTCGCAGATGCTGCTGTCAGATGAGGTGGGCGTGCCAAGGTTTTCTGGGTCTTCTATCCAGTACCCCCCAAACTGGGGCAGGATGATCAGTGGGTATGGGCTACCCTTCTCCAGGATCTGCAGAGACATGTGCCACGAGGAATCAGGCAAGACTGGGTGTGGGTGTGGGATGCAGAGCTCATTGCTCCATGTTTTGCCCCTCTACTGCAGCAGACCCCAGCCCTGCCACCAGGAGAGACAAGTCCAGCCCCTCTCTGAAACCTCTTCTCTGTCACAGAAGAGGGCACATGCTACTGAGGAAAAGCCAAAAACCACAAAGGTAGGGAGGAGAAACATGCTTTATGTAGCTCCTCTCAGAAACAGTCTCCACCAATTCCTCTGCCATCAGCAGTTTTGGAAAGGCATTCACCAGAAGGTGCTCAGGGGGTTCAGGGCACCCACCTCATCGATGCTGGGGTATGGGATGTAGTCTTCCTGGAAAAAGGAACCAAAACATCATCCATGACCATCTGCTCTCCCCAGCTGTCCCCTAAAACCCCAGCCCTGCCCCACCCAAGCCAGGGAGTGCCTCCAGCACCTGCTGGTCCCTTGCAGGAAGGCACCAATGCAGGCTAAGCCCTGCCTAAAGGGAGTTCCTCCACTGGTGCAACTTGCCAGTGCAGTGGCAAACCCCAACCCTTTTGCACAGCTGGGAGCTGAAATGCACTGGGCTGGGCATAAAGCTGGATTAGGGATTTACAGGCACCATGCTCCCATCTCTGCAATTCAATCAGTGCCTTGCTTTTAGATAACATCCAAATCCTTTCCAGCCCTTTGAGTGACTGTCTTTGACAATCACAATAAACCTCTGAGATGGGGGGGACACTCGAAGAGATGCCCCCAAGAAACAAAAATCAACCAACCTTGTGTTTTTGACTTCCAGACCTCTGTTCTTCCAGTTTTGGTGCCTGTTTGGAACAAAATGAACGCATTTTAGATGCTTTTACCCACACAGGGGGTCAGTCCACCAACATGAGGGTATTTTGCTACATGGAGATCACTCCAACCCAAGTGGCTGGAAGGTGAGGTCTGTTCCTGGGACAGGCCCTCTGCCCTCAGGGGCTGTGCTGGGGCAAATATCCCGAGTTACTGGCATGCACACTGCTGCTCACCTGCATTTTTTCCAGCATTTCAAAGAATTCTGCCGACTGAAAAGAAAAGAAGGAAATCGACTGTTCGATAAAAGCAGACACAAAGCAAGCCAGTCCAAGCCACATGACAGCAGGGACACTGGACCCCCACCCCGAGCACTTGTCCTGCTCCCTGAATGTGACCAGGCAGCTGGGATTCCCATCCAGCCCCATCCTTGCTGCAGCTGCCCTTGCCAGAAGCCCTCGACCCCCAGAAATGCCGAGCTTTGAGCACGTTTGATCAGGGGTCTTGACTCATTTATTTTCACAATCACAGCAGCATTGGCAAAGCCGCTGCCTGTGGTGCTGGGTTGCCCCGTGCAGGGTTAATCCCCCTTGCCACAGGAACTGAAGAGATTACTGAGCTGCTCTATTGGAATCCCTGTTGTGCTGCCTGGCTCGGGAGTGCCGGGGCAGGAGCCACACACAGGATGGGCGGCCCCGCGCCCTGGGTGACACGGGGAGGGCTCAGGGACAAGAACCCACACCAGGGCGGGCTCAGCCCACGCACCCCGCTGCCGGCTCTGCCTCGGGAGCTGCAGGTAACCCCGCTCCCATCTACCTGAGCTGCCCCTCCCGCACCGCACCCGCCGCACCCGGGCTGCCCGGACAGTCCTGATCCCCCTCCCAGCTCCTGCTGCCGTCAGGTACGCACGAACAAACTCCCCGGCCAAGCTGCGGCTGTGAATGCGGCACTCCGGCTTTTCTGGAGGCGCGCCGCCCCCGCCCCGTCCCTGCTCTCTGCCCTCCTTTCACCGGCCGGGGCTGCTCCCGGTGCGGACCAGGAGCGGCCGGGCCACGGCGGTGCCGCCAGCCCCAGGGGCCAGGGAAAAGCGGGAGCAGCAGCTCCCGTCCCACCGGCCGCCAGGAACGGTTCGCGGGAGGGACATGCGTGATTTGGGGCCAAAAAAAGGGGTCATGGTAACAAGGGGAAAGGCAAGGGGGATGATTTTTAGTGAGCCCTTAGAATAGACTGAATTTCTCAAAAGACAAAAAAAAAAAAAAGGAAAAAACAGAGGAGAGGATGAAGAAATGAAAATCAAAGGAAAAGAAAAGTCTGATAGACATTTTTTCCTTTATTATTTGTGGTGAGCAAAGGTCGGGTTTACAGCACGAGCAGTCTGTGGCTGCCAGCACAGGTGGGGCAGCTGTGCCTCGGACACAACCTGGCTGTTTCCAGCTTTAGACCGTGCCCCTCCTCACCTAACACACCTGACGGAGTCAAAAAAGAGAAACCCCAGGCTCAGATAGCTCTGTGCCCACAGCACAATACTCTTTAAAAAGTCTTCCTTAGTTTGAGCTTGGTTTGGATTCTGTTTATCTCCAGGCACAAATGTTCCTGGGTAGTTTCAGGTCCTGCTCTACCAGTAGCCAGAGCCAAGACCTGACTCCTCAGTGGCACCAGACCCAGGTGCCACAGCGAGTCCCACAGAAAATGCCACACGTACTGAGCAAAGCACGCAGCCCTTCAGAGAGCTGTGCACACTTAGAGCCAGCTTTGCTGGGCCACAGAGGAAAGGACGGAAAGAAAACTCTGCACCAGGCAGGAGCAGAGCGGAGGGCAGGCAAGCAGAGCTGGGCACCCTCCCCAGCACTCTCCCCCACATGTCGCAGCCCTGGAAGAAATCTTTTACCTTCCTGGCATCGCTCCCCGCCTGCATCAGCCGCAGCGCCCGAGCTCCTCACGGGCACAGCAGGAGCCGCAGCCCGGCCATCCCCCCCAGCCCCGCCTCCCCTCGGTAACGTTTCCCCAGGCCAGAGGCACAGCAGGACAGCCGGATTGTTGTTCCAGAGGGTGGCTCCCCTGGGAGGCAGAGCCCGGAACAGGCTGGGCGGCAGGTGCGGTTTGCGGGAACAGGCGGGGTTTGTGGGGACAGGCAGGTGGGGTTTGTGGGGGACGGACAGGTGGGGTTTGTGGGGGACGGACAGGTGGGGTTTGCGGGGACAGGCGGGTGGGGTTTTCGGGGGACGGACAGGTGGGGTTTGCAGGGACAGGTGGGGTTTGCGGGGACAGGTGGGGTTTGCGGGGACAGGCAGGTGCAGTTTGCGGGGACAGGTGGGGTTTGCGGGGACAGACAGGTGCAGTTTGCGGGGACAGACAGGTGGGACGCGCAGCTCAGGGTGCCCGGCCCCGCGGCGGGCACCGCGCCTGCCCCATGCGGGCACAGAGCGACGGGCACGGGGCTGGGAGGGTCACCGGGACGGAAACACACTGGGAATCACACAGAGCCACCCGGCACGGGGCTGGGGAGGGTCGCTGGCAGGGAATCACACTGGGAATCACACAGAGCCACCCGGCACGGGGCTGGGAGGGTCACCGGGAGGGAATCACACTGGGAATCACACAGAGCCACCCGGCACGGGGCTGGGGAGGGTCGCTGGCAGGGAATCACATTGGGAATCACACAGAGCCACCCGGCACGGGGCTGGGAGGGTCACCGGGACGGAAACACACTGGGAATCACACAGAGCCACCCGGCACGGGGCTGGGGAGGGTCGCTGGCAGGGAAGCAGCTCCGGGACCCCGCCTGGCAGCGCCGCTCGCGGTGGCGGAACGGGAGCGTCGGTGCGGGATGGGCCGCACGCACGGCCGGCACCGCGGGTGGAGAGGGACGGAGCCGGAAGGGGCTGCCGGCCGGATTCCAGAAACCACCTACTGCTGCTCCTGTGGGAACAGCCCTGCTCCGTGCAGCCGCTGCGCTGGCAGCGCCGCTCCCCCCAGCCTGGCCTCCAAAGCCCGGCCCGCACTCTCACCTTCATGGTCGGGGGCGCCGTCAGCGGGGGGGACAGCGGCCGCTCCGGGACGGCCACATCCGTGCTGTTCAGCAGCTCCTGCTTCCTGGAAAACCAAACACAGGCATGTCAGCTCCGCCGCCCGGGCCAGCGCACCAGGCAGGAGATAAGGGTTATCTCCCTTGGCAAAGCCGCGGTGTGCAGCTGCCTGTACAGTAATATCTGGAATCTGAGAAAAAACCCAGCAGACAGTGTGAGAAGGTGATAAAATAATCAGAAGAGCCCGCGCCCAGGGTGGGCTGCGAGTCCCCATGTGTGGTGCGGTGGTGCAGGGACAGCAGGGCTGTTCCTATGACAGGAACCAGCTGTCCCCACGGCTTCGCTCCCTCTGGCACCCTCCCCACCTGGGCAGGACCTGCGGCTGAGCAGCCCTCGGGCAGCAAAGGAGGCTCAGTGACACCCAGGGGCACCCCAGCACGGCTTTGGAGGGACCCAGCTGAGGGCACCTTTGCCAAAACGGCACCTGGCGCCGGATTTGGAAGTACCAAGAGCCATCATGAAGATGCAAGACCCCAGGAAAGCAAAAAGCAGCCCCTGTGCCACGGAGCTGTCAAGACAGCCCCCCGAAAGTCCCCTAAGCTTTGGAAAAGTACAGCCTCAGCCCTCCCCTGAGCAAAATTCCCATCCCTGTCGCCCGGCAGTTCCCGGGCAGGCAGCCACACCATCACACAGCGGCACTGCCAGATGCTCCTCCGGGAGTCAGAAAATCTGAGATTTAATTTAGTTTCCTCTCGTCCCTGCCAGGTTAGTCCTGCAGAAACCGGGCCAAAATGTCCAACTGTTTATCTCTCCGTAACGAGGTTTGGTTCCCATGGCAGCGCGCCCCGGGATGGCTCCGCGCAGCGCCGGCACCGATCCCGCCGGGCCTCTCCAGCACGCAGCTCCTGCCACAGGGCACCCCGTGAAACCCCTGCCCTCCCCACAGCCCCAGCAGCCGGGCTGCCCTCCCAGGCCCCGGGATTCGGGACAGCAGGTGACAACCACCTGCTGGTCATGGGCGCCTGCAGCCCCTCCTCAGCAGCCGCGGAGCTGCTGGGGGATGCTGGGGAGGCAAAGTGGGACCAGCAGCGTCATCCTAAAGGGATCACACCCAGGGGAGTCATGGCCCCACCTGGGCTGTGCCAGCAACATGGGCTTACCCAGAGGCACTGGGGGCAATACCCACTGCATTGTGCCCAAATGTGAATCCAGACCGAGAGCTGGTGTTTCACATTACATTAAACCAAAGTAAATCTTCTTTCTCTCTTTTTCATATCACAGCAGGTTAAATTTACATTATTACACCTCATTTGAGCTCCTGGCATCTTCCAGTTTTTCAGTGCAAGAAATTAACTGGAGCAATGAGGGGCAATAGGAGAATTCCCATCCTGCCCACCCATATTGTTTATCAAGCTCCTTCCCTCTCTGCTCTCCACAACCTCACCATGTCTCTACTGCTGAAAAATGCCAAGGATGACAGATTTTCCTTGTTTGCTCTTTGACTTTCTAGGACACTAAAGCACAGCCTGATCTGGAGCAAACCACTCATCCTCTGCTCTCCTTGCTTTGAACCCTGAGCTCTGCCTGATTGCACTCAACTGCACAGTGGCCTCAAAGGCATAAAACAGATACGACTTTGAAAAGATTAAAGTTACAGGGATGCACACAAATAATTTGATTTGATCTGGGATTTGTAGTGGGTTGCCATAGCATCATATTCTAAGTATTATAAAATCACCCAACTTAACAACATGTTCCTCTGTCACATGCTGGCTGCTTCTTTGGGGCCAAACTGCTGGAACTGCTCCTGCAGTTCCGGGAGAGCAAAACAAGCCCATCCCCAACGATGAACGGGCCTCTGCGCTGAGAGTCTGTTATGGTGAAGTCCAGCCACAGATGCTGATGATTCAGCCCGCCATCAGCGCTGGGGTCAAGGGCCGATTTCCCAAACTGATTGCCCTCGGGGATGGTAAATGAATCAGGGGAAGCTTATCACACCTTTGTCTGTGCACCGGGGCTCACAGCAGCCCCTCTCCGTACCCCAGCTGGCACTGAGGGCGCCTCTCTGCACAGCCTGAAGCACAGCAGGGGTGGCAGGCACCCACCCCAGCGAGGATGGGCGCTGGGGACGCCGGGCAGCTCCGCGCGCCTCTCCCTGGCACCACAGGAGATGCGCGGCCCCAGCACTGAGAGCCAAAGGTCACAGAGCTGTGTCCGCTCCCAAAGGGGGCAGCTGGCAGCTGCCAGGGGGCTCTGCCTGCCCCCGATGCCCCCGAGCCCGCCCTGGCCAGGCACCAGCGCACAGGATGGGCCAGAGCATCCTCCGGAGCCGGACACAGCCTCTCCAGAAGGAAACGTGGGCATCGCCTCTGTAATTATTTCTTTGTTTTTCTCATTAGGCAAATTAAGAGAGAAGGAAAAAGAGAGAATTAGAATCCTGCATTCTTAGTAAATCTAATTAAGGAAATACCTTAATGCGGTTATGGCAGGGCCGACTGCAGGGTTTCCGAACGGAGTCTGAGATCACCCCAGCCGTCCCAGCCCTCCCAGGACTGTGCTGGGGGACCTGTTGCCAGCTCTAGGGAGGCAAAGCCCACCTGCCAAGGGCTGCTCTCCTGGCTCCTTCCAAAGAGGGAGAAAATGGGGATTTTTCCCCTATTTTGGGGGCAAATCATGGACACTGGTGAGCTCCCAGCACAGCAAGGGCAGGTGAGGTCTTGCTCTTTAAAGCATCCCTGATCACCGTCCTAAAGCACCTTCAAATTAATATCCTGTATTTAGTAAACCCCATTGACATACTGAAATTCTGATTTAAAAGTCCTGCTCAGCACAGAGCCAAGGCTGCCTGGACCCTTGGCGTGTTCCCATCCAGACCCCGACTCGGGGTGCACACTTCTCTCATGCTCTCTCAAGCCAAAGCCTAATGTAAAACCCCCAGGGCATCCCACCTCCTCATTTTGTCCATCTGATTTGTTTCCCAGACAGGCTCTAAATCAACACAGTACATTTAGATAAATCACAGGTGGGGAGGGGAGATGCCAGCATATTACCTGACATGGTGAAATGCTCCACACGTAGTTGGCTCTACTCTGTCAGGATGTGCAAATGGGATGGGAGCACCCCAGGTTACCCATATGCCAATGCTTAATTCCACAGATCAAACCTGGCCTAAGGAGGTACCAAACTCCTGCAGCAACAAGTCCTGCCTGTCAGATGCCTCATCCTTGAGAAGGTCAGCAATGACTCTCCTGTAAATTAACAGCCTCTATTTTTGGACTCATAATTTTTTATCCTTGATGGGCATCACCTTGCCAGCTGCTTCCTTTTTAGTTGATTTCATATTCCATGCCTGATCTCCTAAGTTACCAGAGGGGACTGTGCTTCCCTATCACTTTGCATCCTCCCCCTAGCAGGCTCAGCCCTGTCACAGCGGGCAGTGGGAGTGGGGCACAGGCTGCTCGTCCCCCCTCTGGGAGGGCTCCTCTCATTCATCCCCCACACAGCTGGGGCTGACCCCTGGCTCCTGGGACACGAACACGAGCACCTGCTGACACACCAGGCAGAGCAGCGTGGCCAGGGGCCCTTGCCAGCTGCTCACAAATTGCAAAAAAAAAAAAAAAACCAACCAAAAACTGTGGGTTTTTTGCATCACAGACAAGGGCACCTTGCTGTGAGTTTACACCTGGAAATCTGCAGTGAGTGCCTGAATGAAGAACCTTGCCCTGACTTTGAGCAGCTCTCCACCCAATCCCAGGATGCCAGGCAGGCAGGATCTCGCTGCATCATCACTCATCCCACGGAGGACATCAGCAGAGGACATGCACTGCTGCAGGCTCCCACTGATGTCAGACAGTTGTGGGGCTCCAGAATCCCCCCCAGGCATGGGGGGCAGCCCAAGCACTCAGTGCTGCAGAGCTGCAGGACCCTTGGGCAGAGCCCCTGCTATGGAACATCTTCCCTAGAACCTGATTTACCTTGTTATGTCCTGGCTCAGCTTAGCCCTATTCAGCAGCGTTGCCTTCTCACGTGGAAGCCTGAGAGTCAGCAAAAAAAAAGTGCAGCATTTTCTCATCTACATTTCTTGCAATAAATTACATATTTGCAAACTGCCAGCCTGCACCTGCACACACGCAGTGTCCCCAGCACTCTGTCCTCAGCCCTGCTCAAGGAAAGGTGACATTTAACTGCCACTGGGGTTGGCTTTAACTGCCCCTCCAAACAGCAAATAAACTTTGTTGAACAGTTGAGAGCACCGTGTGCTTGAGCAGGCAGGATCCCAGCTGCCCACACTGGCCATGGGCTCCCTGCTGCACACACATTGCCCGTCCTGCTGGGCAGGGGGGCCAGCAAGAGCTGACTCCTGCTTTGCCTGCACCTCTACAGACACTGGAATCTTCCCAGCTGGCCAAGGGCTTCCCACTGGGCCAGGCCAGGACAGGCCAGGGAGGCTCGAAATGCAAGTAATGGTGAAAAGAAGTTTCTATCTTTTACAAAATGTGCTGCCTACTCTGCCTTGCAGGAACAGAGAAAGTGGCAATTTCCTGCAGATCTGGGTAAATCAGCCAAGGCACTTGCAGACATTTTCAGACCAGAAGGCTCGTCTGATCCTATTCCTGCCAAACCCAAGCCAGGAACCTCGGGCAGCCGTTTCTGAGCTGATTCAATAATTTGCAAATTGCAGAGAACAGCTCCCAGAAACCTGCGTCTCCAAACGCCACGGCACTGATGCCAAAGGGCAAGGGGAGGCTGCGAGAGGAGGAGTGCCCCACACAGGGCACCAACCCATCAGCTCTCCCTGTGAGAGGACAGCCACCACAGCATCACCTCACTTGCATGTGGGACAGTTGGGAAAATTCATTTAAATATAAATACAGTTCCAAATCCCAGGCTTTCAGAGGAAAGGAGGAGCCCACAGCAGCAGCCACCCTCCTCAGAGCTCCCTGCTCCTCCCCTCCAGCTCAGGTGTGCAGGGGAGGCACAGGTGAGAAGAGTGCAGGTGGAGGGGCAGGTGAGCATCCCCCAGCTCTGCCGGGGGAGCCTGGTGTGCTGTGCTGCACTTTGCTGGGT